TGATGATGATGATGATGATGATGATGATGATGATGATGATGATGATGATGATGATGATGATGAAAGCTCAGGCGAAAACTGCTGTCTCTGAGTGAAGAGTTAATTTTACAGACCAATTGACAGGCGATTCACCAAAGGAAAAGGCCGGCGTCAAACTGTTTCGGCAACGTTAAATCGAAGCAAAGAGACGACAGTAACCTGAGGTACGCCGAAGAGACTGACAGGCCGAGGGGGAGGCGTAGGTGGGGGAGCTGGGCGGGATGTCGGGGAACTCGATGCCCCGATTGAGCGCATCGATGATTGTCTTCACCTGCGAATTTACGCCAGGCACCTATGTGGGAGACAGAAAAGCAAGCAGTGCAAGGGAGGGGTTATGCGAGCAAGCCTTAAGAGGGGGCGACGTCGAGGTGAGAAACGTACTCGGTAGATTCCCTCCGTGGCTAAACCATACTCCTCAATGAAGTCTATGCACTGACGGAAGAAGGCTGGGAGGTGGACGCCGTCGTGGCTGGGACTGCGGTCTATGGCCGTCTCAAGAGGAACGCCGAAGACGGCCTGCGTTTTTGGAAGAGAGGAAAAACATTTCAGGACGAACGGTATGGGCATGACCTTGGGCATAAATATGACTAGTAAAGTGTCTCCAGAGGGATAAAGGAGTTTGGCAGAGGGCGCTTTAGGAGCGGAGCAGCTATAGGGCATGAATGCCTTTGTACGGCCGCATCTGGAGTTTACTATCCAAGCATGGAGACCCTGGGACAGCTAAAAACCCTAGTATTCTTGGCGGCTGGCAACCACACTTGTAACTGGACGGGACTCACTACCCTACGAAACGCAACTAGCTAATCCTCATCTCTTCTCTTTGAGTTACAGGCAACTACGAAGTGACCACATAGAAGCTTTCCGCAGCCTGCGCGATCAGGACTGCTTCCTCGCATATGGAGACTTCTTCAAGTTGGCGACTACGACTAATCTGAGAGGTCATCCACTCAAAGTACGCGTGACAGGCTGGACACACGGAAGTTCTTCTTCCCCAACAGAGTGATTGCAGCTTGGGATGCTTTGTCGGAGGAGGTTCTAATATCTGCATCCGTAGAAACTTTTAAAAGGGATCTGGATCAACATTGCAGCGCGCACCACAGTGCCATCCGACAACTATCGTCTTGATACCTTACGCTAACAATCTGATACAGTTATGGTACTACTGACACACTTTAAGTAACATTTGTTGATACACTGTATTAGTGTATTAACCACGGCGCACACCACTGCTCGCATTCACCAAGATGCTTGCAGACTACAGATCATATTACTTTCCCTGTAGTTTAGGTGCGCTTCAAGTGACTACTGGATTGCGCACCAAAGCGAGTACGTATGCCTTTAAATATTGTTAACGCATGACATACTTTGTTTATCTCTACAGCTTTTACTATTTTTTTGTATTTCTCTGATGTTACTCCCTTTCCAATTTTTCCCCAACTTCCTCTGCGTGTAAAAATGAGGGGATTCAAAGGTACACACCTACTTTCCATCAGGTAAATTGAACTGAATGATGATGATGGTGATGGTGATGATGGTGATGATGGTGGTGATGATGATGATGATGATGATGAGGAGGAGGAGGAGGAGGAGGAGGAGGAGGAGGGAGGATGAGGAGGAGGGAGCAGGA